TGTCACATTTATAAGCTGATGTCTCGAATAATTCCTGTTTGACTTCTTCTTCTATAGTCACTTCTGAATCCATGAATCTTTCTAAACAGGTTTCATCATCCTCAGTACACGATTCAGATTTAACAATATCATCAAGATCATCCATTTCATCCTCAATTTCGCGTTTAATTTCTTCTTCTGAATATTCTGGTGGCTCAATTTTAATTGCGAGATCATTCATAGTAAAAAATGATGCTTCTGACATGTTTCAATATTTTCACTGCTTAAACTCAGTAAATATTAACGAAAATTGTTATGTACTAAATAATAACTCAGTTTAACCGACAATAATTTCAACTTAATACATTTATTATATTGTCTACGTTAATTATTTGACATTTGGAGCATAGAGTATTCTTGCAGAAAGATGAGACACTTATCAAATCGCTTTGACATTTAACAAGTGGCGCCACTTTTTAAATACATTCTCAACTCAACTGTCAACAAACGTTTTTATTGGGTTCGTTCCATCCGAGCAAATCTGACAGTCCGAAACATGCAACGCGATCGAACTCGGAGCTCACTCGATTGTATTAATAATTATTATTTTAATACATATATATAAGTTTAATATATATATATATTAGGGTGGTCCTTAAAATGGTCATTTTCAAATTTCCTTGCTCCCAGGGTCTCAAATGGTTGCAAATTGATAAAAAACAATTCTCTGTTTAATTTTTAAAATTTTTGAAAATTTTTCCATGCTATTTCCATACAAAACTTTGATTGAATTGCGCTCTATCTAAACGTTAATATTAAGAGCTAAAACTTTCAGAGAATTGTTTTTTATCTATTTGGAACCATTTGAGCCCCTGGGAGCAAGGAAATTCGAAAATGACCAATTCAAGGACCACCCTAATATATATATATATATATATATATATAACATATTCTAATAAAATATAACTTAATTATATCAATGAATTTACTTTTTTAATATTTCCTAGTAATATATCGTTAGGTCGCTTTAATCTAATATTCTACAATGTTTGAACTCCTGTAAGTTCATTAAATTTTTAATGTTCTATTTGAGATTAAATAACATTCTATTTTAATCGTATTAAATTGCGGAGTTTTTGTTTGTGCCGAGTACAAACACAAAATGATAGTTTCAAACTCATCGGACTGCTTGATGGAACGCATTACTGACAGTCCGCAACAGTTTGGAATCCGAAATTTTGGATGGAACAGAAAAAAGTGTTCTGCGCATGCGCGGACAGTTCCGCACTGTCAGATTGGCTCGGATGGAACGAACTCATTATTAATTCTAGAATTATTATTACATAGATAAAAGAAAAGTATGGATGGATAGAGATAGAGAGATGGATATAGATATGGATGGAAGAGTGGATTATTACATAATAGACAATAAAATATTATAAAACTAGTGGTATACGGAATCGTGCCTTAAGGCAAATTGCTGGAACTTTCCATACAGTAACAAAATGATCGAGAAATATAATTATTTTCAAATAGAATATTATAAATACTGTAACATTTTCTAATACTTATAATAATTATAAAAACTGAATTACCAAGTTAAAGTTATTTATTTAAAGTATATAAGTAAGCTTCAGATCTTTAGCTTTATCTTTAAAATCTGAAAAATTTACGATTACAAAAAAAAAGTATTTTGGATTTTTTTTTTAATTAAAAAAAAACTTAACAACAATTGTTTCGCCAACACAAGCAGAATATTTGTTGGATCATTCAAATCGGATACTCCGTTCTCTCAGAAACTCCGTTTCTATTTTCTACACTCTTTGCTCCGTATCTCCGTAACGGCTGGACCCGCCTTTGCCAAAAACTAATCAGCACATCTTTCTATCAATAGGAATCGATTACATTTGAATTCTATAAATCGGTTCATCCATACGTCCGAAATCGTGGTCGAAAAATGGTCTCCAACACACACAACATCCATTTTTTCTGAGGTATGCCAAAATGTTTAGAAACCTCTGAAACGTGAAGATATGCAAAAATTTTCATTTTTGATTTCGGCTAATTACTATAACACACCCTACGTGAAGTTAATTATTTGTATTTAACTAATGATATTAGATATTATACTAAGCACATATTAATAAAATTTATTAATTTCACATTCTACATAAGAGATATTAACTTTGTTAACGTCCTGCAAGGAAAGTTATAGTACATAATAGCAAAGCAAAAATGAAAATGATTTTTTTTATATGTCTGTAAACCGAAAGCCCTCTAAAACTTTTGGTATAACTTAGAAATAATGGATCTACTCATTTTTGTCGACGACTTCGAGAACACGAATCAACCGATTTGAATGATTCAAAAACATTTTGCTTGTATGGACCGTGTGAATAATTGGCTGAATCTCTCAAAGAATAGTAATATAGAAAGATAGCGATATATAATATAAAATATAAAAAAATAAAAAAGTTAGTATAAATAAACAGTAAATAATAATTAATAATTTTGTTTGATTGAGACAGAAAATTATATTTACCTAATTGATATATTAAATTTAATCAACGACTAAACTATTTATTAAAGCATATTCATTGTCATAGATAAATAAGCATGATGTTAATTATCATATTTAAAATAAAATAATAATATAATTTGCCTGGCATGCCATAATCGATATTTGTATTAATCTGTGCTGTGAGAGAACCCCAGGCGCAAAGAATGAAATATTAGTTGAAACAAAATGCAATATTTTTAAGTTTATCATATTAAATACAAATACATGTATTGGTGTATGGCATCGTGCCTTGAGGCAAATTGCTGGAACTTCTTATACCGTAATCAAATATTCAAATCATATTAAATGTTTTCAAATATATTGTTATAAATATTGCAACTTATGTTTACATAAAGTAAATAAACACAACTTAATCAATCGAATTTGAAATGAAGTACGTTGTCTAATATTTATAAGAATTAAATAAACTGAATTGCGCAGTTAAAATTGTTTATTTGAAGTATATATAAGCTCTTGACAAAAGCCTGAAATAATATCTATTATTATTGATTACGGCTTGCTTATGAATAAATAAAATAAATAAATAAATATATTTGTGAGCTTTAGAACTTTAGCTAGAATTAAAATCCAAATTATTTTTGATATTAAAAAAAAGAATCAAAAGCAATCATTTCGTCAACACAAGCAGAAAGTTTTTTGAATCATTCAAATCGGATGCTTATTTCTCTCGAAAACTATCATTTTTTGCACATTTAGCTTCGTATCTTCAAAACGGCTGGACCTGCCTTTACCAAAAACTAATAAGCACATCTCCCTATCAATAAGAATCGAATGTTTTTTGAACCATTCAAATCGGTTGATCCGTGCGCCCGAAAATGTAAACCGAAAAATGCGGACATACAAAACACACACACACACACACACACACACCCATCACTTTTTTCTAAGGTATGCCAAAATGTTCAGAAACCTTCAAAACGTGAGGATATGCAAAAATTTTCATTTTTGATTTTTGGCCCATTACTTTAACTATCCTACGGGAAGTTAAAACAAAAAAATCACTTTTGAAGATACTTTATTATATTATTCATCATTCAAAAATTGTCTTGATTAGTTTTTAGAGAAACGTGAAAACTTCCTCTTCACAATGAACAGCAGAAACTTTAAACACGTTAACTCGGAGTATTCTCTAAAAGAAAATTTTCAAAGATTAATAATTTTTATAATTGAACCAGTTTCCTTAGGACTTTAATGGTTTATTATGTTCATTAAGACCAAGTACTCTATCGTTATATCAAGTAAATCGTCTAATTTTAATTTTAAAAAACGTCAAAAAAACTACTCATTTTCTTAAAATTTGGTGAATTTTTTAAATTAAACTACTTGTCGTAAGGGCGTAATATTTCAATAAGTTGTATAAGACCGTGATATATATCGCCAAAAAAGTTCCATAAAAATCGGCTTAAATTTTTTTTTCAACAGTTAATTACAAGGAAACGGCTCGGTAGATTTTCACCTAAAACTGTTCAGGATCATTCCCAACTAATATCTTTCGAACAGTTTTTGATTTTTTAAAATCGATTCGGTAGTTTGAGCTTAAATGTGCACGAAGAGTTTAACACTTTTTTTCAATTTACAAAGAAACGGGTTGGCAGATCGTCTCACATAACTGACAAACGATAGATCTCATTGAGATACGGTTCAGACGTTTTTGAGAAAACGTCGATCAAAGATCTAATTTTGACAAATTCCAAAAGAACGATACTAATTTTTGCAAACTTTGATGAATTTTTAAAGCTAAACGAGTTGTCGTAGGGCTGTAATATTTAAGTATGATCTAGAAGACTATGATATCTACCGTAAAAAAATAATAATAAAAATCGTCGAATTTTTTTTTTAAAAAACTTTATTACAAGAAAACGGCCCGGCCGATCTCTACCAGAAACTAATCAGCACGATTCCCAACCAATATCTTTCGAACGGTTTTTGAATTTTCAAATCGATTCAGAATTGCGGGCTAAAACGTAGACGAAAAAATTTACACTTTTCTGCGATTT